CCAGGCCCCATCTAGTCTGGGAACACTTCCAGGAATGGAGCATCCACAACTTCTCTGGGCAACCTGTTTCACTGTTTCACCACCCTCACAGTAAAGAATTTCTTCCTAATATCTCATCTAAATCTAACCTCTTTCAGTTTGAAGCCATTATTCCTTGTCCTATCACTACATGCCCTTGTAAAATGTCACTGTCCAGCTTTTTGTAGGCCCTTTTTTGGTACTGAAAAGCTGCTATAAGATATCCCCTTAGCCTTCTGCGCTCCATGCTGAGCAACCTTACTTGTCTCCGCCTGTCTTCATAGGAGAGGTGCTCCAGTCCTCTGACCATGTTCATGGCCCTCCTCTGGACTTGCTCCAACAAGTCCCTGTCCTTCTTGTGTTGGGGTCCCCAAACCTGGACACAAGTACTCCAGACTGGGTCTCATGAGAGCAGAGTAGAGGAGGAGAATCACCTCCCTCGACCTGCTGGCCACGCTGCTTTTGATGGAGCCCAGGACACAGTTGGCTTTCTGGGCTATGAGCACACTTTGCTGGGTCAGGTCCAGCTTCTCATCCACCAACACTCAGAAGTCCTTCTACCCAGGGCTACTCTCAATCCATTCTCTGTCCAGCCCATACTTGTCCTTGGGAGTGCTCTGAACCAGCTGCAGCAACTTGCACTTGGCTTTGTTGAACTTCATGAGGTTCACACAGCCTCCCCACCTCTCAAGCCTGTCGAAGTTCCTCTGGATGGCATCCCTTCCCTCCAGCCTGTCAGTTGCACCACACAGCTTGGTGTTGTCAGCAAACTTGCTGAGGGTGCACTTGATCTTGTTGTCCATGTTACTAACAGAGATATTAAACAGCCCCAGTAACAATACTGTCCCCTGAGGAATGTCACTCACCACTGATTTCCACTTGGCCATTGAGCCATTGAACTCAGTTCTTTAAGTGTGACACATCCCTATCCACTGAATGATCCACCCGTTAAATCCATGTCTCTCCAAATCAGAGACAAGAATGTTGTGTGGGATCATATCAAATGCCCTGCACAGGTCCTGGTAGGTGACATCAGTTGCTCTATTTCAAAAAGACCTGGTGTGATGCCCTATGTTTTGAAAATAAATATTATACTGTTGGATTGAGAACATCAAAGTCTAAAAATTTCTTTTCAAAGAGGAATAATACCACTGAGTGGAGATGCTTTAAGAACTGGATTAATTGTATTTGTTGCAGGAGAGCAATAACAAATAAAACTCTTCTGCTAAGAACTGCATATGCAAGAGCTAGGCATCTTTAAGACTCATGGAATTGTTATTAACAATGTTAATTTTTCTTTAGAAAGAAAGTTCTTTTGATAAACTAGAAATGAAGCAGAATATCCTAAGCAGAAGGTCTATACTGTGGAAGATACTTGTTCTGGACTCAAAAGGGATTTTATTTTGTTAAAACATAGTGTAGGTATTTTGAGAGGTGGCTTTTACATCAAAGAAGACACTGTATATTTATTATATTTATTTCTTCATTCTTGCCATTGCGCTGCTGCAGATTGTCATAGAGATAGAAGATGGGAACAGAAATCTAAGATAACTATGTAAAGAATGGTTTTAATAATCCATGCTAATTTAAAAAAAAAATAATAATACTATCTAAAATATAATAAGTATTAATAAATTACATTTTTATTACATTGTTAATCATGTTTCATTTAATCCTAGTGTGCCAGACCTTTCTTGCAATCAGAGAGTACATTGTTTTTCCAGTTCCCTTCAAAAACCAAGCTAGTGACAGAATGATGAATCTGTTTGAGAGAATCTGTGCTACCATCAACAGCCCCTCTCTAGATTTGTTGCTGATCAGACATAGCAGTAGTTGTGGCTCTGGAGCATTTCTGAAGGATTGTGGAAGCATGTTCAGACCAATTATTTCATTGTTCCAGCACTCTTCCAGCATAGAGGGTTGTTACACTCAAAAGTAGAAACAAGTGCCCTGAATCTGTCTGTGTGATTCAGCAGACAGCTGAGTGGGCTGGATAGTTGTGATGCCTGATCAAATTTCAGCACCCTTAATTACTTTTAAAAGGGAGGATTTTTTTAAAGACATAAAATTGGCAACTGACTACCTAACTAATTCGCACTGTAAACCTCATCCATGAGCCTTAGCTGATGGTGGGAAGCAAACTTCTCACCCCTTTATTTGGAATGGTTAGTAAGAGTGGTAGGAGTGTATAGTTGTCAGTCATAGTATGATATAAAACTATGGCAAATGTCTGTGAGAAACAGCTGCTATAAGAGAAAGCGTGAAGCTCCTTTATTACTCCTTTATTTCTGGTGGATATGCCTTTGACATCAGAAGACCTTTCCCAACAAAGGAAGGAGAATATTTTTAACAGTCCCCTTCTTATCTACTGCTCAGTGTCTTGAGGCAGAGTAATGATGACACACCCTTAAAACTTCTATTCTCTGCATTCATCATTGTGCAGAGTCAGGCTTTAAATGCTCTAAACGGAGAAAAGTCAGAAATAGTTGTTCGTGGTAACATATATTCTAACAAAGCCATGGGATTTAAGGTTGAATAAACTAGATGTGTCAGTTTTTCTGGTGTTAGAGTTTTTTTTGGTGATTAGGATTAAGTTTTGATGGAAAAGAGTTACAGTTTGAAGAATTGACTAAATTGTCAGGTTAAAAGTTTTTAGTGTATAGACATTTTGGCTACACCTGTGAATGTTTTGTCTAAAACTGAACCATTGCTGTTTCCATTTAGAGTAGTTTCATGGAATGGGCTGTCCCTTTGTCTCTAGTATTCGGTGATTTTACAATGACATTTTCTTATTTAGAGTGTATAAAAATAAAATTTCTATTTTCTCTATTATGTTGTATGAAAGCCACAGACAAAAAGCTGAAGATAACTGAAGTACAGAGAGCAAAATCAGATACTTGTCACAAATAAGTGACAAGAGGGTTTTCTTTTTGAAAAGTACTGATGTCTGGATACTAGCAATTACATGAACTGGAGATAGCAACCATCACTACCACTACTTTTTAGAAATTGAACTATTTTAATACTTTATAGAAATTTAACTATTTTAAATTGTCGGTTTATTACTTGAAAGTAAAGTAACTGACAGTAAACTATTTGACTACTGAAAAGTCAGGAGTCTGTGAAGGGCTAAGAAATTAACAGAAATCCTAAATACTCCTGTATAATGACGATGACAATATCTCTAGTTGCAATCTCAGCATTCTGGATTAAGGGTTTGGTGGTTGTGGGGTTTTTTTGGTTTTGTTTTTTTTAATGTTATCCTAAATACACAAGGGTTTGAATTTTTTGAGGAGCTGCTTTCTGAAAATTGGAGTCCATATTATTCCACTAAAAAAATTACCTCTCTCTTGTGATTTTCTGTCTACTGCACACTGCAAATCCCCCCTCCTCTCAAGTTCAGCCGTGATATCCTGTGAGTTTGGCAACTGCAAAAAAAATTGGTAAGAGATGGGCACGCACTAACTGTGTGGTGCAGTAGAGTCTTGGAAGGAAATAAGAAGCATTTTTACACCCAACGTTTTATGGGTTATTTATCCTGGTCTCTGTTAATGGAGTTGTGTTATCAGTGACTAAAAGAGTACTGTTAATAATAATGAGGCTCAAGACATAACTGTGTGGCTGACAGTATGGTAAATACCACCTCCAGAAGACTCATCATGTCAAGATTGCTGTAATAAGCTCCTGATAAAATTTCTTCCCCAGAATCCTTTATTTTTCCTCTTGATGACCCATTAGAGAGAGATAGCTAAAAATAGTTTGCAGGTTTAATTCCATGATTGCAAAAATAAAAGTTTTCTAAACTTGTAAAATTTTATTTTGGCAACGTGTCTTCAGAAACTGCTAACTCTCTGCATGCTTGTCTAAGAAATACAATTAATTTTGGTGTCTTGCGACTGCTTCCTATTTCGTAAAGAAGAAATTTGAGGCATTCTGGTCAATTCAGTTACTCAGCTTAGTCTTGTCTAAATTCAAAATAAGTTCTGGCAAGCAATGTGATTTACAGCACATACAAACAAAAAGCATTTTACAAAAAGCACTCATTTAAAGTATGGATGTTTTTCAGTTTTACATGCTTATATGTAACATTGAAGTGTGTGATCTTCCTATGCATGGATGTGTCTCCACTTTAGTTTCACCACCAGGAGAAACTTGTCCTTGGTTTTTGAAGCTCTAACCTGGAAGTGTTTCTTATCAAGCCTCGTAGGAATCTGGGAAATGCTTTGTTTTCAATGTATCTGAATTTTCAACATGATAGCATTAAATGTATAATTACTTGATAACTGCTTGTGATATGATATGTGCAGGCCTATTAAAAATTCTGAGACCAGCTGTGTATATTTAATGTTCTACAGGATTATCATACTTAAAAGAGTTAGATGACATGATGGAAGAAAGTATAGGAAAGACATGGGCAGGTATCAGCAGAAAGGACAAGAGCAAATATACAAGTTCTTTTTCAGACGATTTAGAAAAATTGTTTTGGATTCTGTTGGGAAATTTTACTTTATGTTCCAAAGTTCCACCTGTTTTTACAGAATAATTTCTACAATGTACTACGGAGAAAGATAAAAGAGTCATGTCCAATTGCCCTCCAGTTGCAGCAAGATGTGTTATGCATGCTGGTCAGGGTGAGATTTGCGTAATAAGGTGTCCATTGGTAAATACAATGTTGCTGATTTAGTTTCAGAAAGCAGGTAGAATTGCACTTAACCTTCTTGTCACTTTACTGGCACGTCTGCTGTTTTCATTTCCATAGTTTTTTAAAAACTCATTTTGGTAATATTGCAGCTGATATAAAAGTATATTGTTTCCAGGCAATTTCACTAGTGGAACAAAATATGGCACATTGTATGGTACAGCAGTATGCAGAGAACAATATGTAAACTTTTCAGATTAAACCTTACTTTTACTTACTGTAGTAGAAGACATTATTGAAAGCATGTTTCTAAATTTTTTTTTCCAATCTGTTTCATTTTCAGGCATTGCTGTTTCTGATGAACTTGAGAAGGTAAGATTGATAAGGTATACCTAATGAACAGTACAAAGAGACAGATGATTGTGATAATTTTAGGCAATGAGAGCTGCATCTCCCTGTCCTGGCATACAGACTTCAGTTCTGCTGGGTTCAGAGGAAGTTTAGGTATGGAAAGCTGTGTAAGTAGAGTATATGTGGATACATCAAGAGCTTGACTGGAAAGGGCTGTCAAGTACAGAAAAAAACTCTCACTGAGTTTGAGAGACTCTCAATGAGGCCATGGAAATACTTTTTAATCATGACACCATCTTTGCTTAGTACAGTCTGTTGGGTTACTTTTTGTACTTTTGGAAACATTTAGCCTTAAATACCTTTTGTTCATGAAGTCATGAATCCTACATTCCCAGATATGATTTGTGAAAATATTTAGGAATTATTTTTGTTTCTAGATTTGATCAGGAATGCACAGGGCATAAAAATCAGTCTTTACCTCCTTGTTGAATGCAACAAACAATGATCTCCTCAGTCCCTTTTGATACATTACACAGTTAATATGAATTTTAGTTTTAGCTGTAATAAGCTACATTGAAAGAGTAATCAAACTAATTTTTCAAATTACCAAAGGAAACAGAGCACCTTTATCTTCTCTATTCTCACCTGTGAACAGCAGTATGCTTCAAGTGCCAAGAATCTTGGGTTGTGTTCTTGGTGTCGGAAACAATTGCTGTAAGGGAAATGAGATCAAAAGGTACATAAGACACAGGAATAATACTTAATATAGAACACATTTTTTTAAAAAATATTTTTTCTTTCTACTGGTAAAATGAGGACACAAATCTTTCTGACACAAGTGCATATAAAATACCTCCACTGCGTTCTCCAAGGAAGGCCAGTTAGACAAGACTGATCACTGTTACCATGTAGTCATGAGCATATGTGGCTGCCATTTCAAAACTATGGCTTAAGTCTTCTTTCCTACTATTTTCATAACTGTGTTCAGAAGTGATGATAAAAATGACTGGAAAGCCTTTCCATTAGAACCCTTACCTTTAAGAATACTTATGAAGAACTCCATTTCATTTTGTTTGTTGCAAAAAACCTATAAAATACTGTTTGTGGGAGGAAAAGACATTTTGGGCTAGAGCCTGTTATCAACACTTTTTACATCTATTTTTAGGATATAATTTCTGTTAATTTTCTTTAACTATAATATTACTCAAAAACATTAATTTTTTTATATTTAATTATCCAGTGTGAAAACTGAGATGGGGAACATAATTTGGGACTTTCCTCAGGATCCACACTGAGCGAAGAGATAATTTTTTTTTGGTTACTGTTTGTTTACTTAATTGTTTATAATTTAAAATTGAAAGGTATATCCATTTATTTATGCATCATTTAAAAAGCTTGGTATTCCTGTTTTCTAATATGGATTTTGAGGGACCTTCCATCGTGAGAAGTACTTTTGGGTATTTCTGAATTTTTGAAACAAAACTTGGAATTACGGTATGTACATTCAATAGCATGCATTACCTGACACCTTTGGAATACTGCATCTGGTTTAATGTATGTTTCTGATGAGGACAGGTAAATAGAACGTTCTTGAAGTCAGAAGCTATTTGTAAAATAAATGAACCCCCAAACAATTAAGCTCTTGACATGTGTCATTTGTGCAGCATTGCTCAACAGGCTTTCAGCACAGACTTAGAGGAGTGATTTTTCATCTCCACGGGCTTTAGTGATCTTCATTTTTATTTCTTGTTTGGACCCTTAGGGATTTTTAATGAACATAAAATCTAGTTCTGTCTTAAGAATATAAGCATAGCTAGGACCATTTTGTGGAGTCCTGCCTCCTGGGAATGATTCCTAGGAAGCTAATTCCTGAAATGTTCCTGTGACTTGTTTCTGCATGTATTACTTGGCTAGAACGAAAAGCAGCCAAAGACTACCTGATAATGGTTGTTTTAAAGTTAAAGAGAATGTGTTCTGAATGTGTTCACAGGTGATGTTTATTTTTCAGATATAAATGTAGCCAAGTTGTAATTCCTATCCCAGAAATGAATGCTGATACTAGAACTTCTTGTCTAGGCTGTGGCAGCATTGAATCATTTTTTGAAACCACATTCATCTGTGATTTGGATTAACCATTTAACCCATCGGGTGCATGTCATGGGTCTAGAATAGCATGGCCAAACTTGGCATTGGATTCTGTTAAAACATTGACATTGCATAGGTGTTATGAGAGACATAAAACTAAACACAGTAATAAACTTCTGTACACTCTTCCTCGCTTTATTTTCCTGATGATCTGGAATATCTGGGGGACTAGGACAGAGCCCATAATCCTGATGCTTTGTCTGTGGTTTAAATTATGAACCTGGAGAAAACAGAGAATACATGTGTATATTCCTCTATTTTTTTTCCTCATTGTGTATTTTTTTAAATTACTTCTTTCTGGCTTTAGTAACGCAGCTGCCTTCATCAGGGGAGTACTTAATCAGTATTGTTGGTTGATGTAAGTCCTCCTCCAAGTAATCCAGTTAGTTAGTTAGTTGCTTAGTTACTCGAGCATTTGGATTTGGAAAACCAGTTTGCTCTGAATTACAATGACTTTTGTGGAAGGGTGTTTCCTTTAAATGGACTCGTGTCAAATATCTGCTTTTATTAGCTTTGTATCAGTACTTAGGGCTTTAGTCTGAGAGAGAGAAAATACAGGCAGACAAGGTCAGTCTTTCAGTCAAAATGGAATCTTTCATTTTGACTTAGTCTCATAAAACTCATGAGTCCACTAGTAACCTTGCAAAAAAAAAAATAGTCCTATAATGACTGCATTTAAAACAGATTTATTGTATAGATTCCGTTCTTTTTCATCTCAGTTACTTCAGACTTGCAGTGTTCTCTCTCTCTTGACTCAGCCTGCATCTCTAGACCATAGAAGCTATGTAAAATCAGAGACTGGCACTCAAGTATGCTGTGTAAGGAAAGGAAATAAGAAAGGATGCTTTGTGACTCACATATTTTAAAACTAAAGTGCAGAGTTAATATAATACAAATTTCTGAATTGACTCACCCTCCGTACCACTGAACAGAAACTGTTGAAGAGCTTTAGGAAACTACACACCTTTATGCATAATGTGAAGAGTTTAATGTAAACAAAGGAGAGCTAGGAAGTTAGCCTTTCTTTGAAATTCACAGAATTCTAGGGTGAAAAAAAATTCTCACAAAAAACAGTGATGGGAGAGACCTGCCATAACGTTGTGAAATTTATCCCAAATACCCAATGATGTTTCTCAATCACTTTAAACATTAATAATGGGAGACATCTAAGTGTTAGAGATCCACAAGCAAACTCAAGGGAAGATCAAAAAATTTATAACAGATTTTGACCCTCAATGTTAATATTAAAAAATATTCTGTGCTGTCTAGCGTATACTTTCTTCTCATATGTAATATTACTTCAGTGAACATAGATTAATAGAATAGATGAAACAACTGTTCTTATGTCATAAACCCAAAAACATTTCTTCTCACCTAAAAGTATTTCTAATGATGGAAATTCCCTTAAAATCCATATCAGAAAATAGGAATACCAGGCTTTTTAAATGATGCATAAATAAATGGATATAAAAATGTTTTGCTCTCTGGTAGAGGTTGCATTCAGCAACCACAACTCAGCCCAATGTGAAGATGAGATTCAGCTGTCTTGCAATCTTTCCCTTCTTTTCCTAGTCTCCACATAAAGGAAGGTTGAGTGTGTCAAACTGGTAGCCAGTGATGTGGATAAGAGGATAACACGTGGGCTGCTCCATGAAATAGTGCTCTCAGTTCATTTATTGCAGATTTAAATACCTACTTGTCCTGAAAATATTTCTGTGCCCACTAATGTCACTGTCAATCTCTTGTTATTTATGGGGGAATATAGATTGGAAATCAATTAAGATTGTAAGATTTATATGAAAAAAAGAAACCAGCCAAAAACACCCCAACCCAAAACTAAAAAAACTTGTTAGAGAACAGTATACTTCATCTGAATTTATTGCAGCCTTTGAAATAGTGCCAAAGAAACATCCTCATGTTCTGAATAGAGCTGTCTCTGATTCTCCATTTACTGTTTTCACTGTGGCTGCTTATATAGTTGAAAGGAGGACAATAAATTAGGTCACTGAAACTGTGGTGTACTAATCTAACACGATGCAAAAAGTAAAGCAAGGTGATAAAGTAAGGCAAAGCATGACTATGTAATGTAAATTACATTTCTATTAAGTGAAGTATGAAACTGCTACTTTAATCCCTAAAATGCCTAGGAAAGAAATTAGCATAACAAGGACAGTTGCAGCATTCATGGTTTACTTATTCATATGTTGATGGTGTAGTGTACAGTGTCAGAAAAAACTTAAGGTACTGACAAAAGGATACATTTTTAGGTGCTTTTCATTTTCACTTAAGACGCTGAAAGCTTTTAGCAAGATGGACACTAAGATATTCTGACTTTCAGGAACCATTTTTTATTCATTATTAGAAATTATCTTAGGGAGAAAGAGAAGGAAGCAAATAGCTAGAATAGAAGGAATAAACCTCAGAAAGGTTGTGGGCAATCTTAATGAAGGCATTGTGGGCAATCCTTTTTCTAAGCTCATAAGCACATGATGGTAGTCACACCAGTGACAGTTTATGCTTGTCAAGAGCCCAAAGGTGACTGTCATGTAGTCTACCTGCCCTGACTATGACACAGCTCCAAATAAATGCACAAAATGTAAGTACATAAGAACAGAACAGCACTGGCTAGATATCCTGATATCTCCAAAGCTGTGGTGTTTTCCTCAGATTTCTCTCTTCTGTATGATCTGTATTCAATTTTCAGTGGTCCTTGCAGAAAACAGACATCATGTAAAAGTGAATTAGTCAAGTGATGGACAACTCTGTAGAGAGGAATGTGGTAATGCACTCACAGGCACATTGCAGAAAGCAGAAAAAACCAACAAGGTTGAGTGAATTGGATCCAGGGCCTGGGTCGCATTTGGTTCTGTCAAAATAGAAGCTCTTGGAGTTCTGCTC